AACGAAAACCACAAAAAACAAACTAAACAAAAGACAGCATATATTTTTAACAAAATAGAAATTTGCAAATTGACATATTTGAGGGGTTTACTCATTTGAGCAGCCTTTGGATCAGTTCAGCCTTTATAATAGCAAACACTCAGAAAGTCAGCTATTTGCCTTCTATCTTAAATCAGATATTTAAATGCCTATAATTTCTCAAGTGTGCAGAAATGCCGTTGGTTCATTTAATAAGCATTCAGCGAGTGCTTACTGCACACAGCCCCCTTCAATTTCCAGAACAAAATAGAAAGCAATCTAAAGTGTCATCCAATGAAACTTTCCCACCTGGCAAATGAATAGGCTGGCTTATCTGGGCAAAGGCATGTTTGCATAACTGGGCTGCATTAAATATAAGAGACAGATGCTAAGAACAAAAATAACCAAACGTGGCTTTCTGAGCGCCTGGTCTCTTATATTCAGTAATTACAATGGCTGACGTGGAGGAAGGAGTTAGGGGAGGAAAATGAACGGGAAATGGTAGGATATATTAATTAAGATTTGTGTCCCTTCCCTCATTTCGAAAAAGGAATCTCTGAGAGCAGCTCTTCACCCATGTTGGTTCCTTTGCCTTCGGGGTATCTGAATATCTGGATCGGCTCTGCCCTTTCGAGCTGAGGAGAAGGGAGGGCTCTCTACTCGATGCCCAACCAGGAAGCAGTGGTAGGTCTTGGATTCCATCGCCGCAGCTGGACAAAGGGAAACGGCTAACAGCTCCCAAAGGACACATCGGGAATTTTGTACCTGTTTGATGGTAGGACAGCTCTTCAAAGATTGCCCCCAAGTTGACTGGATTTCACCCTTAGCAACGTCTGCAATCCAAGTGAAGCAGGATCTTTTGCTTAGTTTCCACCTGTGCTGCTGACAGCACATTGTCTCTGTTTTTTCCCTCCTTGGGAAAGGCCACTGGTGGTCAGTGTGTCAGTGAAAGCATAAGACAGGTGTCTGCCTTTCTTAAATTTATAAGGCATGACAGAGATGGCAGTTACTATAAAAGTTTATTTTCTAAGTGGAAGGAAGAATTGGACACTTTATGACTAAGGATGCTGCCCGTAGTAGGGCAAGGACCCCAGGCATGTCCCTAGAAGAGGAAGGGGTGATGTTCATCCTAATTATTGAGAGATTCCGTCATTTTGCTCTGATATTTCAAGAGCTCTCTATCTCTCCAGCATCACGCCCAGCGCTGGTCCTGAGTACCTGAGAGTGAGCCCTTCCTTAGGATCATCACCCTGTCCCCCATCTTGAACCTCAAATACCTCCTTCCTTTGCTCTTAAATTCCTACCACTCCCATTCCTTTGTTTATTTTCTTCCCCCTTATTTTTCCTTCTCCTGTCTTTTCCCCCCCCCCCCCGCTGTTTTTCTTTGGTTCATTCCCATTGTTCTGTGTCATAGAGTCCCAAGGGGCAGAAGCAGGGTGTGATGAGAGCAGAGCTGGTGTTCTGCTTTGCCATTTGTTGCCTCTGTGCTTGTGGGTGGGTCATTCAGTCTCTGAGCCTCAGTTCTAAGAACAAGAAGTGATAATACCTGTTTGTGGGGATTATGTGAGCTAGTTCAGGTGTACACCCTTAAATTAAAAGCTACCCAGATGAAATTGGTATTATTATTGGGAATCACACAGACATCTAAAGACGGTGACCCGTCTTTACTTTGCTGCCTGGAGAGGGAGAGAAGAGAGACAGTGGGTGGTGGGAGCCCAGAGTCGCTTGAAGGAATGTGCGGTGACGGTGTCTGCGTCTTAGTAATGACTAACTGCTTTCCAAAGTCAATGACAGGTAACTGTCTTTACCACTTGCCTGAGTTGAACTCGTGCCCTTCTCTCTTAGCTCAGCAGCTGGCCAGCTGTGATGGCCCGCTCAGTGTGCGTTTTAGGTTTCTTTTTCCTGGTCCATTTCCCACTCACATGCACTGTCCCCTGGCCCTCTCTGCCTGCGCTAAGCAGCTTAGGGTAAGCTTGGATTGAAAGAGTGTCCGGTCCTAAGGGTGATGACAACATGGACCCACCCAGCAACGGGTTGCCTGGGTGTTGTTTTTCCAAAACTGCTGTCTCATCCCCTTTGTTATCCTTTTCAGAAAGTCTGGCCTAGCTTACAGAGTTTTCAACTCTGCAATGTCACCCACTCTGCCACAATTCGTCTAACCCCCTGTGACCTTTAGCACATTCTCTGTAAACACTAGCTTTATTGAGATATAATTCACATTCCGTAAAAGTTGCTCTTGAAAGTACAATTCAGGAGGGGTGCCTGGGTGGCTCAGTGGGTTGGGCCTCTGCCTTCCGCCCAGGTCCTAATCTCAGGGTCCTGGGATCGAGCCCCGCATCGGCTCTCTGCTCAGCAGGGAGCCAGCTTCCTTCTCTCTCTCTCTGCCTGCTTCTCTGCCTACTTGTGATCTCTGTCTGTCAAATAAATAAATAAATCTTTAAAAAGGAAAAAAAAGAAAGTGCAATTCAGTGACTCTTAGTATATTCACGGAGTTGTGCAAACATCACCGCAGTCCAATTTTAGAACATTTTCTTTACCCACCTCCAAGGGGAAAAAAAAAATACCCTTTAGCCCTTACGGCGTCTTCTCTCCTCTCCCAGTCCCTGACAACCACTGAACTATTTTCTGTCTCTGTGGATTTGCCTATCTTGGACATTTCGTATAAATGGGATAATATAGTATGTGGTTCTTTGTGACTGGCTTCTTTCACTTAGCTTAGTGTTTTCAAGGCCCATCATGTGGTTGTGTTTATCAGAACTTCATTCCTTTTTATGGTTGAATAATATTCCATTGTATGGATGGACAGGTACCCATTCATCTGCTAATGAACATTTGGGCTATTTCCACTTTGGGGCTGTTTCTATTTATTTATTTTTTATTTTGTTTTATTTATTTTTAGAGAGAGGAGAGAAAGCACCAGCAGAGGGAAAAGGGGGTCAGGGCAGAGGAAGAGAGAGAGAGAGAGAGAATCCTTTTTTTTTTTTTTAAGATTTTATTTATTTATTTGACAGAGAGAGATCACAAGTAGGCAGAGAGAGAGGGGGAAGCAGACTCCCCGCTGAGCAGAGAGCCCGATGCGGGGCTCGATCCCAGGACTCTGAGATCATGACCTGAGCCGAAAGCGGAGGCTTAACCCACTGAGCCACCCAGGTGCCCCGAGAGAGAATCCTAAGCAGGCTCCACACTCCAGACAGTAGGGCTATTTTAATAAGGATGCTACAAACCTTTGAATATCGGTTTTGTGTGGACAGACATTTTCTTTCTTTCTCTCTCTCTCTCTCTTTTTTTTTTTTTTCGACATACGTTTTCATTTCTCTTGGGTTCATACCTAGAGAGGAATTGCTGAGTCCCAGAGTAATTCTATGGCTAACTTTTTGAGGACCTACCAGATTGTTTTTCCAAAGTGGCTGCACTATTTTATATTCCCACCAGCAATGTAGGATGGTTCCTATATTTCTTGATCTTTGTATCACATTCTAGTTCATGAGTTATCTCTGTATATATATTACTACTTTAAGCTCCTAGTGGCCACAAACCGCTGCGAGATTGTCACAGTGGGAACCACAGCACACGATATGTTCTGAATAAATCACAGCTATTAGTTGGATATGCCTTTTATTACATTCAGTTACAGTTCTTAACTAAATTAAGTAAGCCCACTTTAGGAGAAAATACAGGTCTGATTTCACACCTTCCAAAGAAATCTACACATAAACAGAGTTACCATGTATCGGGCCCTTACTGGACTCCTACCACATATGACATCATTTTTCAGATAAGGAAACTAAGACTCAAGTTACTCGTCCAAGTAATTAACAGCAAAGCTGAAATTCAGACCCAAGTTTTCACTGCATCACTTTGTCTTTCACGGTGAAGGAATTCTATTTTGTAGGGAGAAGAGGCTTATTTGAGAACTTGTGATTTCCCTCTATGAATTCCACAAATGCAAGCACCGATGTTTTGCCCCTTTTATTATCTCCTTTTGTACACAGCACATAGTGGTAACTCAAAATTTTACTTCTGATTATATAAATTTTGAACAATGATATAATGACTAATACATATATATAAAAGTGTATATAAAGTATATATAAAAGGTATTGTCACGGTCTAGTTCAATACTTATTGCGATTATATATGATAATATACGGTAAGCACCTAACCACTTGCCAATGACCACAGAACCATAGCCGAAACTGGATCTCCCTTAAATCCCCCAAAGTTGGCCTATGTGCCTCAAAGCGTCACCGCCGGGGAATCAAAGAAGCTCTGCCTCTGCAGCTATCATCCGGGCGCCCAAGACACTGCCTGGTGCCATTCAGCTGACACCAGCTGTCGGAAAAGCGGAACTTGCTGAAGGGGCCTCTGCCCCTAACCAGCATGGCCACCCTCCGGCTTCGGACTGAGGGCGGCAGAATGAGAATCACGTGAGGAGAATTCCGTTCTTTTATTGGCTTTCTCTCCTGAAAGGGCGGGATACAATGGCCCTGCGGGGGCCGGCCTTAAAGGGCCCGCTGCTAAGTCCTCCAGAGCTCCGCCCCCGGGGCTGGGCGGGGCCGGCGTGCGAAGGCCGCGTCCGGGGGAGCCGTGGTGACGGCCGCCGGCTGTGACGGGAGCCGGAGGGGTTTAACCGCCGAGTCTGCGGGCGGGAGAGCGCGAAGAACGCGAGCTCGAGCCCGCCTCAGCCGACGAGGGCGCACGGGGACGCGCGGGCTCCCGCGCGGGGATGGAGGACGCGGTGGCCGGGGCCCGGCTCCGGGCGGCGGCCGAAGCGGCCGAATCGCGAGCTCAGCCGGGGGTGACGCTGCGGCCCTTCGCGCCGTTCTCGGGGGCGGCCGAGGCCGACGAGGGCGGCGGCGACTGGAGCTTCATCGACTGCGAGATGGAGGAGGTGGACCTGCAGGACCTGCCCAGCGCCACCATCGCCTGCCACCTGGACCCGCGCGTGTTCGTGGACGGCCTGTGCCGGGTGAGGGCCGGGCCGGGCGGGCCGTCGGGTGGAGGGCGGACACTTGTTGCCCGGAGGAGGAGGCGCGGGTCGCGGCGTCCAGGTCCCGGCCGGCTCGGGGCAGCCTCTCCAGCCAGGGCCGCTGGCGGGGCCGAGAGGCGACCTTCAGGGTCTCGGCGACGTCCCCGGCCGCCCCGCGACGGTCCGCTCCTAGCCGGGCGGGGGCGGGGGCGCACTCCCCGAGGGTCCTGGGTCCCTGAGCACCTGCCGGGCCGCGCGCGCACGGGGCGCAGGGGCTCTCAGCGCCTCGCCTTTGACCATGGCTGGTCACCGCCTCCTAGGGACGCCCGTGCCCCCGGGTGTCTACTCGGTGGGGATAGTAGGGTGGGGGAAATGAAGTAAGGGACAGTCAGGGATGAACTGGCACGTGGAGTGGTCGGGAGCTCACACTGCCACCCCGGGGCAAGTACCGTCGCTCTGCACTTACTCCTTTGGGGAAGGGGCTCCCCCCTCATTCATAGGGAGCAGGAAACAGACGTGGAGCGGCGACGTGACTCACTGTTCATAAATAGGACAACGTCTCTGCATTCTCAATCTGCACTATTGGAAGAAACGCCAATGTTTGGGTGAGAATCTTCGGTTGCTCATTATCCTGTGGCTGGCCAGTTTTGGTCGAATGGTGTTGGGGGGAAGGGACCCATTCTCTAGGCGTTCAGAATAGGATTCTTGCTCCCAGAATGGGTAACATGCCACCGTCAGGACACTCAGTATGTGCAGAGCTGGATTGTGGGTTTTTTTGTTTTTTGTTTTTTGTTTTTTGTTTTTTGTTTTTTGTTTTTTTAAATCTACCCAGTTTAGAAACTTAGGAGGCTGAGGGGGCAGGTATGAGTAATCGATGGTGGTGGCGGGGAGGAGGCATTTATTTCAAATCTGCAATTAGTGTGCAGAATAAAATTTGGAAAACGTAGGCATTGCAGAATAAAGCCTGTCTTTGAGAGATATGCCTCATGAGGAGAGCAGCTGTCAAAAAAAGTGATGCTTTCCATGCTTGGCGCTGAGTCTGCCTATACTGGCAATGAACTTGTAGCTGAAGGCTGCCAGGAGGAACACCACTGTGGAACAGAGAATGGCCCGCTCGCGTCCCATTTATTTGTAATTTCTGTGCCCATCCACTTTCAGAAAGGATTTACATCAGCTTTGGGCTTAGGTGAGCTCCGTGTATGCTTTCTAAAGCAACAATTGTCATAAATGCAGGGTCTCGCTCATCTTTTTCTAAAACCTTTTCTCTTCTCAAGGCCAAGGTCTAGCCAGCATATCAAGTCTCTTTCCTAGGGGTCTGAGGCTGTCTTTAATGGAGCAGGTCAGGTTGTGTAAGACTGTGCTTATTTACTTGGGTATCTAGCGATTCCTAGTTTTATGGTCTTTCCAGAAAGTGCAGGGGACATTCCTGAAATTGCTTTGTATGAAATTTTGTCCACTTTGCTAACTGTTCATTTTAAGAAATGGTTGAGACTCTGCTTGGGCCAGGCCCTGTTCTAGGCTCTGAGGGACAGCAGTGAATGGAATCGCGACCCTGCCTCCAGGGCTGGCCTTTCTGTTGTGAGGCAACAGACTGTCAACGAGTATTAAACATGTCAGGAGGTCTTCATGCTATAGGAAAAAAGTAAGTGATAGGGGAGGAGGAACTGGAGGTCTGGGAGGGGAGGGAGATTGTTGTTTTACGTTAGATGATCAGGGAAGAGCTTTCTGACAAGGTGATGGTTTGAGCAGAGACTGAGGGCTTAGCATTCAGTCCTTTATTTATTCTTTTGCTGTGTGCTGAATGCTTCTTACATCCCAGGCACTGGTTTAGGCCCATGGGGAAGAGTGGTGAACACGGTGAACTTCCTGCTTATGTTCTAGTGGTTGAAGTGGGGACGGGTCAGATAACTGAGAAAAATAAGTGAACAAGGTAATTTCGGATTAGTGGAGACAAGTACAGTAGAGAACGTAATGTAGGATAATATGCTAGAGAGTGACCAAGGAGAGGACAGGGGCTGAGTCCTACCAGTCCTAACAGGGACACCGTGGTGGTTCGAATTGGGGATGAATTGGGGCGGGACTGAGGGAGACAGCAGGAGTGGGGACAGGTGTTGGATGGTGGGGAGGAGTCCACACTGCCAAGTTCAAGTCCCAGGAGAGCAGCTGCTGGCCAGGCCGGAGCTGCGGGAGTGAAGGGGTGTGGGATCAGGATGCTACAGCAGGGAGTGGCAGGGAGGAAATACCCCACTCACCCTGGCTTTCTGGTCTCATTGGTGGAAACCAGCTGGCAGCCAGGAGGCCAAGGAGCCCAAGTAGTTGCAGTCCATAGGTGGGGTCAGCCTTCCAGAGCCCAGAGAAAGGTATAGAGAGGGTCAGTTTAGGCAAAGAGGACATGCAGAGAGGGGTCAGCGTGGGGCCGCTGTAGGGTGAGTGGCCCCCGAAGGTCCCTAGGCACAGCACGCACTTGGCCAGCAGAAAGAAGCTCCTTGCGTGGATTTTCGTGGCTGGCCTCCAGGCAGAGGGTGCAGACGGGAACAGCAAAGCCAGAAGTTCTAGGGAGTTGGTGAGCTGACTGTATTCAGAGGGTGTGAAGGGCGCCTCTTGGCCAAGGAAGACATGGTAGGGGGGTGGCTGAGGTTAGACACAGCTGGGGAATAGTTCCATGGGGGGCCTTGGTGGCCCTGAGAGGGGTTGGGATGTTACTCTAACAGCAAGCGGAGTGGAGAATGTCTCTTGGGGACGGAGGGTGGGTGGTCAAGAGAGGAAGCAAGGAGACCCCTTTGTTAGCGCTCGCCCTTTGTTGTCTAGGGGAGCTATGAAGGTGTTTGAATTTGGGTGGGGGCGTTGTCCTGAGCTTGTGCGGGGGGCAGGGGAGCTTTGTGCAATGTTGCTCGCACATCCCTAAGCTCCCCTAAGGTGTCCGATAATCGGTGAAGACACAACATTCACTGGGCTGAAGGAGTCCCAGGCCGTGAAAGGTCAGTGTCGCCCTGGGGGGGAGGGGGGGGGGAGAAGTGGGGGGGGGGGGGGGGGGGTGGGGGGGGGGGGGGGAGGCTTATGGTGAGCCTTCCAGTAGAAAGAATGTCTCCTGCAGCTAAAACCACCCCTCTAGGTGGGAAAGTGTGGCTTCTAGCAGCCTTATTATTTTCGAGGCCTTTCTCCCTCAAGCGGCCGATCCCCCCCTCCTTTGGATATTGAAATGAACATATCCTTCTGCTTCTGGTCAGTGTCGCCTTACCCGAGTGGGCAGATGGCTCCCTGCGTCTCCCTCCTCTGAGGTCCCTGTGCTGGGGGGCTGGCCATCCCCTCTCCTGAACCAGTCCCTTGGAGGGTCACCTGGAGGAGGGCCGATTAGCCTGGTAGGGCCGCTAGAACCACATACCACAGACTGGGGGGCGAATAAGGAACGGACGTGTATTTCTCACAGCTCTGGAAGCCAGTGTGGTCAGCGATGGTCCTCTCCCGGGCTGCGGACCTATCACTCTGTCCTGCTTCGGTAGAAGGGATGGGGGAGCTAGGCTCGGGGGGCCTCTCCCCCGACATGACCTGAACACCCCCTAAAGGCCTTCCCTCCTCATACCATTACCTTCAGGGGTTAGGATGTCAACCTGTGAATTTGGAGGGAACACAAACATCCAGACCATGCAGAGGGTGTGAAGGAAAAAGACTGTGCCAACTTCTTTCCCAGTGCTCCTCTTACTCTCTAACCGTAGGCCTGATAGAAATTGATCTAAACCACCAATTCATTTGGGAATTTATGTCAGAAGCCGTTTTCTAACCATAACACTTAGGTCTGATAGGTAAAGCTTGTCATGGTTAGCCCGGTCATCATCAATGCTGTAAAAAGTTTATAATAAATGTGTTCATTAAATGCTTATCTAAAAAACACCTGAAACTGTACCATCAGTTTCAAGCAATATTACTAGAGAGTTCGCACCATTATAAATGAAAGAAAAGTTTTTAAAAGATTTTCGAGGGGCGCCTGGGTGGCTCAGTGGGTTAAGCATCTGCTTTTGGCTCAGGTCCAGATCCCAGGGTCCTGGGATCGAGCCCTGCATCAGGCTGTCTGCTCAGCGGGGAGCCTGCTTCTCCCTCTCTCTCTGTCTGCCTCTCTGCCTACTTGTGATCTCTCTCTCTCTCTCTCTGTCAAATAAATAAATAAATAAATAAATAAATAAATAAATAAAAATATTCTCTCCCTCTCCCTTCCCACCCCTCTCTCTCCCTCTCTGGAAAAAAAAAAGAAAAAAAAGAAAAGATTATTTTCTCCTGTACAAATATTAACTAGCATATCCCATTACTGTTCTCTTTTTGCAAGACTTTTTTTTTTTTTTTTTTTTTCTGAGAAAGCAAAACAGGGCTTTGAACCAGTGATCGCATGTGCTTGGGCTTGTTGGCCGTGGTCGTTGGTTCCCTAGAAGAATGCTTATTCAGTCCTTATCAAGCTAAGCAGACACTTGGTTCTCATGTAATATGCTGTGAGTTTGCAGACAGCGAGCAAGGTTGCATAGGGTAATAGATGCGAATGCTGCTTTTCTTGTTGTCGGAAACACGAATGCGTATTTGGCTGACAGAGCTTTGCCCTAAGACTAAGTCAGAAAATATGAATCATCAGAACATTTACTCTTCTCTAGTGAATAAACTCACCTTCCTTAAGACAAATGCTCACTTCAGACCCGTGACACCGACATGCTTTTCTTTCAGTAGCAGAAATATTCTGAGAGCCATAAAAGGAGTTTGAGCGGAGGCTTTGAATTCGTTGTATCCGAGAAGACCCCAAACCCAATCGCACCTTAGCTGCCCGGGAGAGTCCCACGGGAGCCTTAAAATCATCCAGGCCCCAGGCCACCCTGACCAACTGCAGTCTTGGGTTGGGAACCTCCTGGAAAGAGTTGTCTGAAAAGCTCCCCAAGGTGACTCTACTTGAGAGTCGAGGTTGAGGATCCTTGTGCTACCTGGGAGGGGTTTTGCCTGACCAGAGCCCTTGTTGTGCCGTGAAAATATTGCATAATTGGTCATTGGGTTCCATTTTGAGCCAGATCTGTGCCTTGATTTCCTCGAGTCTAAAAGTGCGTCAGGCTCCTGGTCCGGTGCCTCCGTCCTCTGAGTGGTGTTTGACCTTGTAGCTGGAAGGCTGGATGATTGGCTGTCAGCCCTGGAGCCAGCACCTCTGGGAGGTGACACAGGAGATAAGAGCGTGGACTTTAACACAGGGTTGCCTCCCGGGGCCTTCGTCCGCAGCCTCTTCAGCAGCTGCTCAGTCTGTAGCCAAACGGCAGGTCCCGGACGGGCCCTCCCCAGACTTGTGCGTTGGTAGACAAGACACCATCCAGTAGTAACTGATGACCAAGATGTTTTTGAGGTCCAGGCGAGCAAGGCCGGTGTGCACTGCGGGGGCTCACAAGGCTGTAGGTACTTGGTGGCGTTTCTGCCTGTTCCTGTTCCAAGTCAGTCTGTGGCCGCAAGTTGGATAATGTGACGTTCCAGCAGATCGGTAGCAATCGGGGTCGACATTGGTATAAAATCCGGGCGCTTTCAGGCCTTTTCACCATTCGCTCTCATGTCCTAGGTATGTGGTTTCTCCAACTTAAACTATGCCTAAAAT